CATGCAAACAACAATGTCATGGCAATCACTGAAAGCAATACTGTGACTAACTACCATTTTATGAGCTCTACTCCGAAATACAGTTAATTGAAAATCATCAGATTGGCAGTATATTTTATTTGTTTTGTTGTGCCTCACTTTAAATGTGCAGGCCAAGTATAAGTTCAACCAAGTATCTACATGTATATCAAAGCTAACATACATTTTTGTTTTTCCATGGCAAAACTTTGGTGATAAAATTGGGCTTTTTCTCAATGATGGCATAATTTATATTTTAAACTCCATATATCTTTCTTTTTTTTTAAATGCATGCTGTATCTCGTTTAGCACCGTAATTTTGCTTAAGAGCAGAGTACTAAAATGATTTTAAACAAATTGTGACCCCACAGTCACCAGGAAATCATCTGTTTGGAGCTGAACTTTTTGCTCCACCAGCCCAGAATGAGTCTCAGCCCTCAAATCAGACCTCATCCATTCCAGCAGATCTATTCAACACCACACCATCCTCCACCGTCAATGCCCTTGGTATAATGTATTCTGTCTATCTATCTATCTATCTATCTGTCTAAAACCTTTAAGTAACTTTATTTTTTTCCTATATAAAGGCCCATTTCAACTGTGTGAGAAAACTAGCAAGTGTTATATTACAGAGACTAAATAATCTGCTTTTATAGTGTAAGTAAATAGAATGAAGCAGAATGAAAACAATGTCAAATTGAGTAAATGTTAACAATTTAAATAAATCAGAGCACATGTAAAATTGTAAGATCACATTTTTTCCCTGAGTTTCCTCTCCTAGCGCCCCCTGGGTTGTTCGACAACCCAATTTTAATGGAACATTTTTGCATGTCACTTCGAACATGGTGAACATGCTTTAATTTTTTGATGTTGTTTGTATTTAAAGTAATTACTGTGTTCTGTAGGGTCATTGTCTCTGGGCTCTACTTCTGTCACTCAGACTCCTGGGACAGCTCCATCTCTATGGAGTCAGACTCCCACAATGTTTCCTCCTCAGGGTGGTGTTCCTCAAGTAATGGTTCCAGGACAGCCAAACCCTTTTCCTCAACCACCTGCCTTTGGAGGCCTGCCTGCACCTGTATGGGGGCAGCAAGGAGCTTCCCCTTTTGGTCCACCAGCTATCACTCAAGCCTGGGGTCAACCAGGAACTGCAGCACCTGGTGGTGCCTGGTCCACCTCTGGTCCTGTGGCAAGCCCTTTTGCAAACCAATTTGCTCCCATGATGCCTCCTAATGCAATGATGGGTATGCAGCAGAGTGCAGTGGTTCCTCCTCGACCTCCACCCCGTCCTCCGGTGAAGGAAGATCCCCCACTGGTGAAAAGCGCCTTTACAGCTTTGGACCCCCTAGGGGAGAAAGAAAAGAAGACCGGAAAAGATATGTTCAAAAATTTCCAGATGGCTAAGCCCCAGATAGCAGAACAAGGAACTGGTCTGAGCACCAATGGCTCATTTGACCAGTACTTTTCCAGCAAGGTTGGCTTGGCTCAGGAGGTGGCAGATCATGATGACTTCGACATAAACCAAATCTCAGTTAACTCAAATGGTATTCATTTAATTAACAGCTGTATATAGACTGTATAGAGCATAGCGATTTTGTTGGTTTGATAAATACAGTTCCTCATCTTGTCCAGGGACCTCCAAACTTGCTCCTCAGCAGTCTCCTCCTACTCAGGGAGTACCTCAGGGAGCAGGCCTGACTCCGACCCTGGCCCAAGCCACAAGGCTTTTGGATGCTGCCTTCACTCCTAATACAGCCCCTGCACTCTCAAACCCAACTCCCACAGCAGGCTCAAACCTTTTTGATGACACTTTTGGAACTGACCCTTTTGGAGCCCCTCCCATGAATACAGTATGTACTTTTGAATTGGAATTCTAAAAGCTTATAGTGTCGAAAAGATGCTCTGGGTGTTTCAGTTGATACTGTGTTTTTGGGATTGCAAGTTTGTTGACCTTTTGAATTTTTCTGTATGAATTTTGCCTGTTTTCTATCCCAGAGCACTCCAGCCACTCAGACTGCTGCCCTTGCAGATGCTTTTGGAGACCCGTTTGGGGGAAATCCTTTTGCCTGACAAACTTTAGCACTGTTGGTGAGAAACTATAAAGACACTCACTTAAATATTTCCTTAAATGTTTTGATATCTTATATATTGTATAAGTCTCTCTCTAAGAAATGTGATTTGCAGTATGTGTTGAAATAAATATATTACCTGTTCATGTACTTATTTCAGTACACTCCCACTGATCCAGTGCTACTGAGCCAGAGGACCACACAAGCACTGTAGAGTTGCGATCAGCATTCTAATACTTGGAAAATAAATGTGCTCGTAAAACCCCTTTTCTTGTATTCCGTTCTCATTCCCACTATATATCTGCTGTAGCCTCTCTTTATGTGCCTTTCTAACTGATCACATATCAGCCCTTCTTCTCCAGCCCATTCAAATGAACCCATTTCAATCCCAAGTCACTCATGAAATAAGATGCACAGTTAAAGTAGGGTTCTTGTAGAGAGTTTAATAGAGAAGGAGAGAGAATAAAAGACGATGATCGTTTTTGTGCACATGATTTTTCTGTATGCAAGTATCCCGAGCATTTATGATGACGTAAAAGTGCTTAATCCTAATGATTTGTCATTAAAGAAAGTGAATAAATATCTGGCTTTGTGGGTTTTTTTGTGATCTTTGTTGTCACGTTCTCAATTTAAAATCAGGTAGTAAAATCAGAGCAATTATTAATGTTATGCAATGCATCTTAATATATCTGGCTCTAAATGTTGTTTACAAGACTGAAGAATTCTCTAGAGCTGAGATAAAGGTTGAAAGTACATACTGTTATACAACAAAGTTGGTAACTATGGTGAAAGAAAGAGCACCAAGATGTGACCAGATTACAGAGGCCATTAATGCAATGACACTATTGCCAGTGGGCCCATTGTCATGCGCCAAGAATTTGCCATTACCCCTTCAGTTCTATTTATACAGACAGGATGGCATCATTCTGTGTACGTTAGATTGTAACACAGGGTTGAAAGATTTGCCAAGCCTCTTTGTTGACATTTGGGATTGGATAACTGGATAATTTGGGATAAAGGTTTAATAGACAAGAACAGTATAAAAGAAGTGAGTGGCAACTTTCTGTAGCATTTCGCAAGTCGGCAAATCAAATTTACTCTGACTGCATCAGCATCAGGTATTGGAAGCTCCAAAACGGTGTTTTTCAGTTTTGAAATTGTTTAAAGATGCCTCGTCCTTTGTTTCAAAGAAATGGTTGCTGGGACCCTTTTCAGGAGAAGACCCAAAACCTTTTCAACCAAAACACCGACCTCCCCAATTTCCTCGAACCAGATGAGGTTAGCTGGATAGAATCAGCAAGGAAAAGATTGGGGACATCGACCTGGCCAGGATCTATGCGTTTACCTCTCCTCAGCTCTTTGTGCATGGAGGTTCCACCTAAATCATGTACTGGATCAGAAGGATGCAATTCTGAATCGGTGTGTAAACGCACGAAAGGACAGCAAAACTGGAAAATCTGTCTAGATGTCAGTCCATTTTCTCCAGAGGAGATAAACATCAAAACCAAGGAAGGATATTTGGAGATTACAGGTATGATTACCTTGATATGTCTGGCTTTATTCCACCTGTAAAATGTATAAAGCGCCATGTATTTATGTAAAAATAACTAGCCTATGCTATGACATTACATGCTGCAGACCACATTTCCTAAATACTTCAATGGCACATTCTTCTACGTCTTGTTTTCTTTCATAGGTAATCACGAGGAAAGGCAGGAGCATCACAGATGGATCTCAAGAAGCTTTACAAGAAAATACAAGTAAGAGCTTTTGTTTCGTTTAAGTAATTTCTCTTGTATTAAAAAAATTATAACAAAAGAATGTTATTTCTCAAAAACTGAACCTAACAGGAGATTATGCAGTGTGTATAGTATTTATTTATTTATTTTTTACACACAGTATGCAGTTTTTTTTTACTCTATTACAGCTGTACACAATATACAGTGTTACTCCATGATTACTCAAGGCTGTTTTCATTTTTCTTGTGTCACTCATTAGGCTTCCGGCTGACTTAGACCTAACACAGATCAGCTCCATGCTGTCTTCAGATGGTATTCTCTCAGTCGAGGCCTCATTACCTGGCTCTAATATCAGTCTCCCCGGAGAGATTGTCATCCCTATTCACATGATGGACAAACAGTTATCTGCAAAATCAGACGGGCAATGCATAACCAGTAACCAGTAACTTATAGACCTAGTTACTGGTTAGGCACAGCCCATTTTACTTAATATGTATATGTGAATATATGTGTGTTAAAATCAATGAATATGTTTTCATAACTTTTTATTTTTTATGGCTAACATTAGAAGCATTTGTAAATACTGGCTTTGCAAGGGAATATTTATCATATTATGAACCATTACCAAAAGACTACAGCGATAGTAATATGCTTAATAGATCAAGTTCGGCTGTTACTTTGGTTTAAAAACAATTATGCAATACATAATTTGTGCTGTATAAGAATACGTCTAAGATGATCACTCCTATGTAACCAGCAAGTACTGACTGACTAAGGAGAGATTAGATTTTCCAGCTCGCTCTCTCACTTTTTCAGGCTACAATTTAAATAAATAAAAAAAAAGTCAAAGAAAAAAGAAGTGGGGCTAGACTCATACTGGGGATTGTATTGTATAATGCCAGGATAATCCTTTTGATTTTGAAAGACTATTTTAATAAATCTGTTTTGAGAATGAAAACTTGCGTTACTGAATGTCATTATATAACAGTCTAAAGAGGCTACATACTGAAATTGATCAATATTTAGGAAAGCAAATACCTAAATCTGATCATGCAGCTGAGTAGAGCTTCAGGTGACATTCTTTTAGTTGTGGAAATTTTGATTCTTTCAAGAGATTCGTTCATTTTCAGTTTGTTTACCAAAATGATTCGTTCACTGATTTGTTCAGTGACCAATAAACATCAAAACCAAGGAAGGATATTTGGAGATTACAGGTATGATTACCTTGATATGTCTGGCTTTATTCCACCTGTAAAATGTATAAAGCGCCATGTATTTATGTAAAAATAACTAGCCTATGCTATGACATTACATGCTGCAGACCACATTTCCTAAATACTTCAATGGCACATTCTTCTACGTCTTGTTTTCTTTCATAGGTAATCACGAGGAAAGGCAGGAGCATCACAGATGGATCTCAAGAAGCTTTACAAGAAAATACAAGTAAGAGCTTTTGTTTCGTTTAAGTAATTTCTCTTGTATTAAAAAAATTATAACAAAAGAATGTTATTTCTCAAAAACTGAACCTAACAGGAGATTATGCAGTGTGTATAGTATTTATTTATTTATTTTTTACACACAGTATGCAGTTTTTTTTTACTCTATTACAGCTGTACACAATATACAGTGTTACTCCATGATTACTCAAGGCTGTTTTCATTTTTCTTGTGTCACTCATTAGGCTTCCGGCTGACTTAGACCTAACACAGATCAGCTCCATGCTGTCTTCAGATGGTATTCTCTCAGTCGAGGCCTCATTACCTGGCTCTAATATCAGTCTCCCCGGAGAGATTGTCATCCCTATTCACATGATGGACAAACAGTTATCTGCAAAATCAGACGGGCAATGCATAACCAGTAACCAGTAACTTATAGACCTAGTTACTGGTTAGGCACAGCCCATTTTACTTAATATGTATATGTGAATATATGTGTGTTAAAATCAATGAATATGTTTCCATAACTTTTTATTTTTTATGGCTAACATTAGAAGCATTTGTAAATACTGGCTTTGCAAGGGAATATTTATCATATTATGAACCATTACCAAAAGACTACAGCGATAGTAATATGCTTAATAGATCAAGTTCGGCTGTTACTTTGGTTTAAAAACAATTATGCAATACATAATTTGTGCTGTATAAGAATACGTCTAAGATGATCACTCCTATGTAACCAGCAAGTACTGACTGACTAAGGAGAGATTAGATTTTCCAGCTCGCTCTCTCACTTTTTCAGGCTACAATTTAAATAAATAAAAAAAAAGTCAAAGAAAAAAGAAGTGGGGCTAGACTCATACTGGGGATTGTATTGTATAATGCCAGGATAATCCTTTTGATTTTGAAAGACTATTTTAATAAATCTGTTTTGAGAATGAAAACTTGCGTTACTGAATGTCATTATATAACAGTCTAAAGAGGCTACATACTGAAATTGATCAATATTTAGGAAAGCAAATACCTAAATCTGATCATGCAGCTGAGTAGAGCTTCAGGTGACATTCTTTTAGTTGTGGAAATTTTGATTCTTTCAAGAGATTCGTTCATTTTCAGTTTGTTTACCAAAATGATTCGTTCACTGATTTGTTCAGTGACCATTTCTTCATATTACATAAATACGCCAGCAGGTGGCGAAAAAGGGTAACAAAAAATCTTATGTGTTACGTCTTCAGTCAACGAAAGTATTTACTTGTTGCAAAAAAACTCATTAGGCTTTATTAAAATGTGTGCCTAATCTACTCATTAAGTAAAATAAGTCTAAATAAGTGGTTCAGATGACCAAAGCACAAGGTTTTCTTGCATAATTAACATTAATTGTTTGGTCAGACATTTACATATTCATAAATCTGGGTTTATATTAAACGTCGTGAGTTATGTTCTATGTTAAATATGAATATTTAAACAAGCGTGTGTGCACAGTAGCCTACCTAGCTATAACTGCGCTTTGCATCCGCTTTCTGCTGATTGCTGAACGAGATTGACTCACATGCTAAATGACCGACCCTGTACACTCTCATTAATTTCATTCACGAACGAGATGTATATGGGGTGAAATTGGTCTCAAATTTACTTACACAAATGCATGCACAATTATCCATGAATTTGAATTATTGCATTGAAGCATATTTAAATATTGCAAATGTATCTCACTATCCACAACCAAATTGCCTGTCTGTGAAATTCAGAATTACATGAACATGCAGCGATTTGTACGTTTGTGAATGCAGATGTTTTCTTTTGCATTAATGTATCAGAATTTGCACATGCAACAAGGAAGATGTGCATTTGTGGATCAAGTGGCATGCCTGCATTCATTGGCATGATTTCCAATCAATCCTGTTTGATTCATTTGGATATTGACACTTTCTTTGTGCAGTTTTCAGCATTTCACAACCCACGCACAAACAACTACTAATGAATACGCCCCAGTGCTATTGATTAATGTGTGCACATCTACCCATCCATTAGAAAAATTCACAAATATATTTTACTATCCACAAACAAACGCCTTTCATCTTGTGTCTGTGAAATTCAGAATTACATGAATGTGCAGCATTTGTTCAAAGAGAGACAAATTTGTGAATACAAATGTTATATTTTGTATTAAAGTATCCCTATCATAATTTGTGCATGTGGAGAGGTTTGGACAATTCCAAGGGCCCAACGTGGGAGGGGGACCCGGAACGCGATTACTACAGAGGGGACATGCCCTCTTTTTGGACCTAAAATCCCAGCCGGGATTTCTCACCCAAAATGTCCGGGATTCAGATTTGCTCTGGATTTCAGTTCTGGATTTTTCTTTCTACACTCTTAAAAATAAAGGTGCTTCAAAAGGTTCTCAACAAATTAGAATACTTCATAAGACCAATAAAAAAAACATTTTTAGTGAATTGTTGGCCTTCTGGAAAGTATGTTCATTTACTGTACATGTACTCAATACTTGGTAGGGGCTCCTTTTGCTTTAATTACTGCCTCAATTCGGCGTTATTACAATATGTCACAATCAAGTAGTGTAAACAGGTAATAAAAAAACTGACAGTAAGATTTTCTTTACTTCCTGTATCAATGAGTCCGTTAAGACTAATTAATGCATCATCGGTTGTATTTTACAGAGGCTGAACCTATTAAAATGGTTATGACTGCTGTTAGTACATGCCAGATTAAATTAAGGGCTGGAACTGGTCCTGTAAACATACACCATATAACACAGCGGCATGTAGAACCGCCACTTGAGACCATCATTTAACTTACTGAGTGTACACAGAGTGTACATGCCAAAAATATGGCCCAGGGAGTATCCAATTACATGACAAGTCTAAAGCTATTCAGGAGGAAGGAGGGTGTTGAAATAGTGAGAATGCCAGGGAGCTCTGCAGGGATCACTCTCCACCACCTGTGGTATGAACAAGTGTAATGAAGATTTATGGCACAATGAAAGTTTAGTTTGTCAACATGTTCACATTTCAGTGTTACATGCACAGCATAAATGTGTGAAAGTATCTGTTGTTTATATATAGAGATTTGTGGTTCGTGATTTATTTATTTATTTTATTTATTCATTTATTTTTATTTTTTGGCAATGTTTCACTTAATATACTGTACATCTTAAGTATGTTAAGAAGTTCAGAAAATCCGATATGAAAGCGATCACACTTGTTTTTTTGCCAAAGATTGTTTCTGCCAGTTTTAATAGCATTATATGAAGCAATATGAAGGCTGATTGTTTCAGGGCATGAATTCAAATAATAACAATAAAAAAAAAAATTTTCATGATCACCTCCACTGCAAGTAAATAATTCAACTTCCTTTACAGCATGTGCAAAGTAAAGTTTCATTTTGGTTGCCTTTTAAATTGGTTGCCTAACTTAGCTTATGTCTCTTTTACTCACTTCCTACAGCCCTAACCTACTAAAAGCTATGCATGCTGAGAATGTGCAGGGCTCAGGGCTACACTCATTTGCCCTGCTATTAAAAATCAGGCAAATGTTTTGCTAGTGTTGATGTCAGTTTCTGCATGAATGAGGCCATAAAAAAGTGTCACACATATGTTTCTGGGGGATGTATGTTAAGGTGATTACTATTCTCGACATAAGCCAAAAAAAAATGTTGGTCATATAACAAAACATCAAAGTGGTAATATGGTATATATATTGCACACATATTTTATTTTATTTATTTATTTAGTCATTTAGCAGACGCTTTTATCCAAAGCGACTTACAAATGAGGACAATAAAGCAGTCAAAACTAACAAAAGAGCAACAATATATAAGTGCAAATGACAAGTCTCGGTTAGCCTAACGCAGTACACGTAGCAAGGTGTATATATATATATATATATATATACATACATATA